AGATTTCAAAGCAAGCCATAGGGGACGATGCGAGGTCACGGCTCTCGGGCGCCGGGCTGCCTAATTCCCAATTAAGCAAGCGCAGGGAGGGACTGGCATAATGGTTTTGATAGATGTTAAGATTTGTCCGCAGCAGAGGAATTTATTCAAGGTGGGAGCTCTTAATTGCGGTAACGAAGGCGAGTGGTCAGGGTGAGCAGGACCCTGAGTGACCGCATCAGCCTTCGGCCCCATCCTCGGCGCCGTTTTGCCAGGGGGTCCTTTGCCTGCTGGTGACATGGTCCAGGGCATCACCTTCAAGCCCCGCATGCAGCCCCAGGGCAGAAGCAACAGGGAAATTTGGGTTTTCGGGCCTTTGCCGATGAGGTTTGGAGTTTTCAGGCTCCCTCGGTGCCGGGAGGTGAACGCAGGAGGGGATGGGCTCAGTGTCACTGCCATCCCAGAGCAGGACAAGCCCGGTGTTGTTTCCCCAAAAGGCCAAGCGGAGATGGGTGGAAAGGACCAACGCCACATTTCCCACCCCAGGGGCTCCTGGAGAAGGATACGGGTTTGCTTTCCCCCCCCTCAAAAGGGATGCGAAGCCAAGGGAAGCACAACATCCCTCTCACCCCACTCCTGGTGGATGCATCCCACGGGGCTATGGCGATACGTCCTTCATCCCTGCCCAAGCCATGCCAGAGGGGTCCCCAACGGGCCACGGGGTGACAAGACACAGCTCAGCAGCCCTGAGAGGTTGGCAGAGAAGGGACCTGAGCCCCAAACAGCATCCGCAGCCTCCACACGTTCCCCCCGCTGCGGTGGGAGTCATCACCAAGGAGAAAACCAACACCTTGGCCTTGACCTCACGTCCTCGACCTCCGGCTATTAGCAGAGCCCTTCGGTGTGGAAAGCAATGCCTTGTGGTTTTTAAGGGAAACGGGTGACGCTGGTGCCAGCATGTGTAACTAGGAGCTGGCCCTATATATACACGACTGCTCGCCGGGTTGAGAAGCCAAAAAGCTTCCCCACCCTGCAGCCATGCCCTGCAAGGTGCTCGCCGTCTGCCTCCTGGGGCTTCTGGCTCTCTCCTCCGCTTGCTACATCCAGAACTGCCCCATCGGGGGCAAACGCGCCGTCCTGGACATGGACGTCAGGAAGGTATGTCCCAGGGGGCTGGGAGACCTCCTAACCCTCTCCTTCTCCCAACCCTCCCCGGGGCTGCTGTGGGGAAGAT